TTTCCCTACTTATATTATGGGACTTGCCGACTTGGGTCATATCATATCAAAGCCATTATCCTCATAAGACAACCTTTGTGGCGTTTGTTCGGTTTCTCAGGACTCTCGAAATTAACTAACACGCCTCCGACGAAGTAACTTGTGGAAAAAATAAATGCCAGTGAGTTTATGAGGTAAGAGACCGTAAAAATATTGTTAATTTGAAGTGCTTGAGATCCATCTGATTGGGTTTTGATTTTCGGTCAAGTTTTGCGAAAACCGATGTTTAGATTTCTCTGAAAAAACTATTTTGTCGTAGATCTACTTGTGATTGGTAAGTTTTCTGGGGTTTTTTTTTTTTTATACCCAGATTGTTTTCTGTCAGATGGATCTCAAGTAGATCAGGTGATACAACCTTCTTTGCGGTCTCATGCCTCCTAAACTCACTCGGAATTTATTCACTAGTGGCTTTATCGGTTTCTGGGTGTGTTCATTTCGAGACTCATGAATAACCTGACAAACTCATGAATATAATTTTGAGGGTTACTATCATTAATTATTATTTTGAGGGTTTGTTGTTGTTGTTGATGATGATGATGATGATGATAATGAGAAAATAATTTTGCCTGGTTGTGAGGGTGGTTATTATTATTTATTTTATTTTTATTATTGTTATTGTTATTATTATTAATTATTACTATTATTATTATGATTATTGTTGTTGTTGCTGCAATTAATTATTACTATTGTTGTTGTTGTTGTTATGGTTGCTGATGATGGGAAAATAATTTTGCCCAGTTTTGAGGGTTATATTGTTGTTGTTTTCGTACTGCGTATTCAGGCCAAAAATCTATCTGTAGTCCATACTATTTTGGCAATTAGCTTAGCCATAGAGATTATGCCCTCATATGATTTCTTTAGAAACTTGTTTCAATCTGATGAGATTGTAGCTGCTAAAAGGATTTCCTGATATCTTTGTACACAATATTGAGAAATATGTGGCACCTACAAATTCTAGCTATTTTGCGAGAACATAGAGTGCCGACTCCGATACTGCTAGGTTGGTTCTTTACCATCCTAAAGTTTTCATGGTAAGTTCTGATCAGGCTGAGAAGTGGAGGAGACTGAGTTTGACGCTTCGAAGGTGAAATTTGTCATTACTTGTGAATGCATTTCTTGTTTATTTATCACCAAAACGAAATGGAGAGCAAGGAATTTCCTGCAAAATAATAGATGTTCTTCGCTTTCATGATGTCTATTCATTGACTTAATACACAGGTCTTTCTAGTCAGTTTGTAAATTATGGAAGGATCCTTTTTAGTTTTTTAGACTAGTGGAAATACATTTTACATTCAGTTTTGAAGCTTGACCGTGTTTGCATGTCTTATTCTTTTTTTTTTTTTTTTTAACTTTTTTTTTTATTTTTTTTTTTTTTTTTAACTTATTATTTAATTCTTGAATTGTGATTTGTGAAACAGGAGAAGTAGACTCAAACTACAAGAAGGCATAAAAATTCTACAATATGTGATTAGATACGTAATATTATGGGGAAAGCGAAATGCTTGTACCTGGTTATTGATAATTCTGTCTCCCAAACAAAATGCAGACAAGGGAGGAAAATTTGTATGAGGCATAAACAAGGGGTTTGCAAGGCTTATTTAATTATTCTCTGTGATTCTTAGAGCATTTTTATGGTGATTATTGATTAATGATAGAAAGTTTCTTGATCGCGAATGTAGACAATCTTTGTCTTGATCTTTTCTCTATTTGTTGTCTGGATTTTCTCAAGTCTGAAGAATTAAAGGTTTTCTGTCTGAGACTGCAATTGAGATTATTGCTGTTATGGGGTTGGACTAAAGTCAGTGTGCCAAAAATCCAACAGATTGTAAGGCCATTTACTTCATCTTATTGGTCATTTTCACTTTTCAGGATTGGATCATGTAATTCCTATTTCCATTAATCAAATACAATAAATTTAGAAAGACAACAAAAAAGGATTTATAAGCGAACAAATAAATATTAGTTCTAACAAAATGAGTTGTGATGACATAAGATTGGAATCACAAAAAGAAGATTTTGCAGCTATAAAAAAGAAATGTTCAACTAATCGATTGTATAATAATTAAGATTCTTTGCATAATTTAGGACATTAGATTAAAGAAAAGGTTCAGAAAAAGAGGAAAGTGTAGTGGAACCGGTGTGGGTGATGGAAAGGCCGTCAATCATGACTTTCAAAGGGATTCATCATATACGGGCGAGATTTGGAGGAAGACAGAGAAGGAGAAGAGGCAGTGGTGGGAGTGTTTGGTTCAAGATTTTTTGGGGTCTTTCATTTTGGGTTTACTCGCAAGAGCTTAGAATTACTCTGATACCATATGGGATTTACAGAGAAAATTTTCATTGATGACAAAACTGTAGGAATGAAAGTAGAAATCTCCTACAATCAAGGAACAAAAGCTAAATAATGTTTACATATGTAATTATGGCAGTCCTACAAATCATGAAAGGAATTATATGTAAAGAAGCATAGCATAGCAACTTGAGGAATAAGAAAGTTCATGTCAGAAGACGACCACATGAAGGAAATAAAGACGATCCTATGCATATTAGAGGGAAAGTTGAGAATGAAAAGCCAATTACTTCAATAGCAACATAAAAGCTTATGAGATGGAGAAAAGAAAATATGAACAGCACAAGCTGAATTCCATTCAATCCACACAAAAACCAATCTTTGCTAGCAGATATATGGCTTGTTTGGTTCACACGTTTTAAGTCAGTGATTTTGATTCTGAATTCAAATTTTGTGAAGGAATCCATTGGCGAAAACTTTTTTGATTTAAACTTTTTGTGAGAGAAAAGTAGTAGTATAATCAGAATCATGGTTTTAAACGCGTGACGTAAACATGCTCATGGTGACGACAAAGTCTCAATAAGTAAGAAAACCGTGCCACAGCGGGAACTCCAAATCGGCCCTTAATTAGGATCGCAAGTGTGTAAAAGAGAAAGCACAAGCAAAACTTTTGTCAAGTCCAAAACAGGAATCGTAGAATGTGAAATTCTAAAATGAAGTTAGAGAAAGATGATTGTATACTACAAGCTTTGTGGGACATCCTGAAATTCTAAAATGGTACACCTATCTTATGCTAAAAGAGTCGAGCCAAATACAAACAAGTTGCTCATTTTGAAAAAATTATCGTATGCTTTACTCCAGTTTTCGTTCATGCAATGCTCAGTAGAACATGAGCTTGTCTGCGCAGATTTGGAAATGTTATTGCGGCAAGGTTTTCTCTGCACTATTTCAAACTAAATTCTGTTGAGGAAGCAACAACACGTGCCGCAGATAATCCCATTACCTAACTAGTTAAGGAAAGCACTTGCACAAATTGGTCCTTCAAAGATCTGCTAAATCCTCCTTCGGATTCTGGTACTGTTTGCAAAGTGAAAACACAGGAACATGGGAAACAAGAACAGTGAAGCAGGTATATCAGCTTTGAACTTCATCTAGTACTCAGAAAATATTACACATAACACACAATTTTCCAATGAGAAAAATCACTTTTCCAATGAGAAAAATTTCCTTCTTCCTCTTTTCTCTCTATTTTCTTTTATTTCTCATGCTTTTCCCTTCTTATTTTTTTTTTTTAATTTATCTTTTTTCCCTTTTTTTCTCCCCTCTCCCTTTGTTCTTTTATCCCCAGCTTTCCCTTTTCATTTTCCTCTTTCTTTTTACAATTTTGTGAGCCCTCAATTGGAAGGAACATTTTGCCAAAGACAAGGAGGTCAACTTTTGTCCAATTCCAAGATTCAAACTTTCCATTCAATGATCAAACAACAAGTCATAAAGGTAATTTTCTCTCATAACAGAATCATTACAATCTTAACAACATGCTACATTTAGTTACACCAATCATTCAGTACAATTGTTCATTCAACACCTACATTGTTCAATAGAAATATTCTTCTTCTTTTTCCCTGTTTTCTTAAGACTACCACAAAGCTAAAAAGTTTCAATTAGATCGAATACAACTTGCCTTCCACATAAACTGCATTGCAGCTCATAATATGGAGATGCCAAAGGACTCGAAAAGTTTATTTACATTACACTATTTGCAACATAATTCTCATACCTTATCAACAACTAGTTCATCAGAAAGATTCAATTTTTCCTTGTACAACTTCAAGAGCTCCGGAGCTTCCTCCTTATAAGGCGTGACAAACTTCTTCAGGAACTTGTTTTCTGAGGTTTCAAATAGGGCAGCTAAGTTAACCTCCTTCTCCACCAAACCTTTCGAGAGCAAAACTTGAAAAACCGAAGACCTCGGGATTAATCTCTTCTTCAAGCTCAGTAAGAGAAGTATAGGCCGTTTAGCAATAAGGCCAGGCCTCCAACGGAACTCATTGATAAAGAAGTCCATACCCGCCGTAATCTTATCTTCAGATATCATCATGCACCGAGGATTCCTTTCAAAGGCTTTCAAAACCTCTTCTTCAGACCAACCCCACTTCTTATATGCATCAACCTTCCTTTCCCACTTTGATTTGCTCATTGACAAAAATGCATTCACCGCTATAACAAAGTTAACCTTCGAAGCATCAAACCTCATTTGCACCACTTCCTCCACAATTTTTCGGAATCCGTCCGGACTCACCATCAAAGATCTAGGACGGTAAAGAAGCAGCGTTGGTATATTGGAGTCAGGCACTCCGTGTTCTCGCAAAATATCAATGTTAAGTGAAACATATTTCTCGATATTGTGTGTAAGGAAATCAGGGCATCGTTTGACAGCAGCAATTAGCTTCTCATCAGATTGAAACAAACTCCTAAAAAAACCATATGACGGAATAATCTGCTTAGCCAAGCTAGCACTAAGAATACGCGGAAATGCAGATAGCATTTTCGCCATTTCCGGGCCTGAAATGCCTTTGGCTTCAAAAAACTCCAATTTGGGCAAAATGGTTTTGTCAGCATCAAGTAAGAGTAATCTAGGATTTCCCTTAACGAGCTTTGAGATTTGGATTTGAGTGAAACCATACTTTCTCAACAAGTTTATGAGTTTGTCTGCTTTCTCGGGAGTCTTGAAATTAACGTGCTTGGAAGCTGATAAAGCAGTTTGTGGAGAGAACCCAATTGAGTTTATGAGGTAAGATTCTGTAAAAGATTGCTGATTTAAACTACATGAGATCCTTCTTTGAGGAAATACATTCGGGTTTTCATTGATTAGTGGTGAAGTTCTCATAGTACAACTTCCAAATAGAAAGCTTTTGCAGAGAAAATAAGACCTGGGTTTTGAAACTCTAGAAGAATGAAATGAACTTACAAATTGGTGAGAGCTAATTCCTTCAGCCATTGATCGAATTCTAAGCTTCACAGAGGAAGTGAGAGAAAAAGAATTTATCAGTTTGGACGTTGGAAGCTGGATTGTTTTGAAATCACACCCATCGCCAGAAGCTGGATTGTTAAATTGGCCTTTTTTTTCCCCCCCAAACCATAGATATTTTCCAGAAAGGGGTTAGCGTTTTGTTTGTTTCCCGTTTAAGTAAAAACGACGTGTCGTTTAGTTCTAACTGACATGGCGTTTTCATTACTGAAGGACGTGTCTGTTTTATGAATAACTATCAACGACAGGTCGTTTGTTTACCTTATGTCAAAATACACGTCGTTTACACAATGTCAACCGAAACGGTCTCGTTCTAAAATGATTTTATTTTTTGTATAAAAATAAAAATAAAAACATTTTTAATCTCAGATAAAAATTATTTTTAAAAATCTATTTATTAAATTTATCAAAATATTATTTTTAATATAAAAAAACTCATTAATGTCTCTCTTTCTCTCTCTTTGTTCGAGAAAGAAGAAAATTAAAATTAAAAATTAAAAACGACTAAGGTCCCGTTTATTTCTCCGATTCGTGTTTAAAATTCGAGTTTTGCTACAGTAAAAAGCTCTCAGAAACAGTTACATCTAACTTTTTTACTATAGTAAAAACTCTTACATAACGTCATATCTCAACTCGAATTAAAAACTCAAATCAGCGAACTAAACGGACCCTAAAAGTCATTTTTTATTTCTCTCATTTTACACTAAATTAAAAAATTATTTTTATTTTTATTTTTTTGTCTTTATTGTGCAAAATGCCATTTTAAAAACGTTTTTATTTTTTATTTTTTAAAAACGTGAAAAATAAAAAGGGGATCAATTCCGTGTGTTCTTTTGTTCCTCACAGATGGATCTCAAGTAGATCGGATCAGGACTCTTTTACTGCAAACTCACTTGGGTTCGAATCAGAAATCATCAGAAAATCAGATCATACACTTGTTCAGGAAGTGTTGATTTGACTCAGATTTAAATCTCAAAGGTTGTTTGAAGATATCCTAGAAAATCATATTTCCAAATTGGCTTCTTTTTGAAGCCAAAGGCGTTTCAGGCCAATAAATGACCAGAATTCTTTCCGTGTTGTGAGTAGGAGTTTAGCTAAATAGATTATGCTCTCGTACGATTTCTTTAAGAAGCTTTGTAGCTGTGAAACGGTTTCTTGATATCCTCGTAGACAATGATCAACAAAATATGTGGCACCCTTTTGGATAAGTCAAACTCTCCACGGAGGAAATATCATCAGAATCTTCTTGAAGCAGATTTTTGTAATCTCTCATGTTGTAAAAAGATTGAGACCAATCTGATGTACACGTACTCTTTGTTTTACATATGAATACTGGTCTTAGCCTGGCTTTCATTTCATTCAGTTACCAGTCTATTACTATATTTTCCTGTTATTTGAGCAAGGCCATGGTGTGCCTAAACTTCAAGCTAAAATTAAGGAATTCAACTTATTAACATAAATACAATCTTTCAATAAAATCTTAGAAACAATAATTTGACACAATAAATGGCACACCGAGATCTAGATAGAAGTTAATGCTTTCGACTCTTCAATTAGTATTTTCAGTTGATACTTGATAATTACATTTTCACCAAGCCAATCCCAAGCAATATATTGAAACATCTCCTCACATAATCAGGTGGGAAAACACTGGTATTGAGTGTTTTGGTTGAATATCTCAAAAAGTTTCCATACACAAAAAGGAAAAGGAACTTGTATTTTATTTGATGTGTAGAAAGTATTGCTAAACATGAGTTATTAACAAGGTGAAATTAACCAAAAAACCAATAACAACTACTACTTCAGAAGGACCATTGGCGCAAAACTTCTGTCTGGGCAGCTCCACTGAAGTCTTTCGACAGAGGTCTTTTAAATAGTGCTGCTTTTTTCTTGCCACTTGAGTCCTCTCTTCTTGCTTTAGTTTTTGTTGTCTTTTTCGGGATGAAATTGGAGGGTTAACGTAAGTACCTGCAATAAAGTTTCTTACTGCAACACACACACAAACATATTCTTTTCACTCCCTGAGTATTGATTGTTTGTAAGCTATACTCAAACCCAAATTATGATTTTGCTACATTATTTTTTATCTCACAAAAAGTTTGAATTTCAAAATTTCCTCTCTCACAAAATTCCCGCCAATAAATCCAAATCATGATTTGAGTATCTTTTCTAAACGGGCCCTTAGACTTTTAAATCTTGCATTCTCAACTTGAGTGCCCGAGTATTATGCATACTATGTTCACTGAATGCTTAAACAGGCACCAAATCGGAAAAGAATAAAAGAGAACGCAGTAATAGGCACAACCTCGTAGGACAGTAAACAAATAGTTAGTTATAGCGGTTAAGCTTCTGGTAGTTAACAGTATCATGCACTCTATGTTCACTGAAGGTTTGAAACAATCATGAGTTAGATTTCATTCAAGAGTTCATTCTATTTAAAGAGAGTGTACACTGAGATTTAATACAAGTTCATTCAATTGACATGAACATGAATTGGAAATATAAGCGGACGCCTTGGACCTTAACATTCAACACAAGGGGGAGAGAGAGCTAAAAGAACAAACAGGATAATTAAGTAAAATAATCGTGAAAGACTCCAAATGCTTCTTTGGCGCCTGGGAAATGCTATCCTTGTCGACAGGAAAAAGACTTGCTCAGGTTTGGGATACTGAGGACAAATCGTGCATTTGTTGTGGTCCGGGGGAGGAATCTGCAGTGTGCTACCCACTTGTTTTCTCAGTGTCAATAGCTCAGTTTCACTGGTTCGGTTGGAGGTGGTCGATTCCAATTGAGCTCTTCAATTTTCTGACGAGTTACGAACTTCATGAGGTTTTGGATTCTTCTTGATGGGGTCAAGGGCCGACGGTGTCTCTTGCAAGGATTTTCTTCTAATCGGTGCTCTGTTAGTTGGTAGCATCTGGACAGAGACTAATGGGATTCTGCACAACAAACCACTTTCGTATAATCATTCCCTCCAGTAGAGATTGGCCTCAAAGTTTGATAAAATGTCTGATTCAACTTCAAGACTTCACGTGCGCTGATGGTGGCAGCTCAGCATGGCTGGAGGAGAATTATTGTAGAGGGCGACCGTAAGATTTGGCTGGGTGCATCAGCTTCGAATCTGCAATGTCCTCTGTGGACTGTAAGAAATCAAGGAATTTGCTACGTGCATGTGTGCATACATTACATATATGTACATATCATATATTTTTGGTTGGGAAAACATATACAGAACCACTTGCAATTCCATGAGCTATCAAGATTCAAGTCCCCTCAACTCGAAAAACATACACAAAAGTTCAGCAATTACATTCATTTTTTTTTCTAAATGTCATATGATAAAAAACGCTCGTGCCATAATATTGTCAAATGACAAATTACCTACTACTGTAAAGGTGCGAAGTGCTCTTATTTCAAGCCAAGAACCCCAAGAACAGTTTTCTTCACATACCTAATTTGCTTGGCATCTTCTTTAAGACATCAATAATTTATTTTTTCAAGACATATGTGGGAACTCCCGTTATATCATGTTTGTTATGATAAGACCCTGTCTTGAAGGTAAAAAAGGAAGAGCTTGGCATGAGTAATGCTAGTAGTGTCATTCAGTATCTTGTGATAATATGACAATAATCCGACGATCTAGCACCAATCTTAAATTAACCGTTTTTAACTTCAACTAATGATCATCTAAATTTTTGCATCTTTGCCATTAGTCAACCGTGTTTGATGTTTTCTAACACTTGGGTTATGAAAATATATATACATAAAAGAAGGCCATAACGAGAAGATGATGACTACTTTTGTGGACGCCAACCATCCAACAATGAAAGATGTGATTGTCATAGTGAGATGTGAACTCGCAGATGAAAATGGACAAGGTGGTAATACTCAAACTTATCCTTTTCTTTTTGGAACAAAGTAAAGGGCGAATAGCTTCTAATAAAAACCAGATTGAGTTGCACAGTAAATTGCAAACAAAAAGCTCTAATCTTGTACCTCAAGGAAGTTAAAAACTAAAAGGTTTCTAATTAGATCAAGTAAGAGTTCATCTGCCCATGATATGGACACAACAAAAATTTTCCTTACATCACCCTTTGTAACGTATCTCTCATCATGTCTCATCATTGATCTGCGGTCTATTTGAAAGATCCAATGTTTCCTTGTACATCTTCAACAGCTCAGGAGCTTTCTTCTCATAACGCGCAACGAACTTCTGCAGGAACTTCTCTTCTGAAGCTAACAATAATGTATTAATGCTAACCTCCTTCTCCACCAAACCTTTTGACAACAAAAGTTGAAAAACCGAACACCTCGGGACTACTCTCTTCTTCAAGCTCAGTCCCAAGATTGTTGGGCACTTAGCCATGAGGCAGGGCCTCCAACCCATTTGGTTGATGAAGAAATCCATACTCCCCATAAGCTTATCTTCAGATATCATCATGCACCAAGGATTTCTTTGAAAAGCTTCCCAGACCTCTTCTTCAGACCATCCCCACTTCTTATATGCATCAAACTTACTTTCCCACGTTGATTTGCTCATTGACCAAAACGCATTCAATGCCAGAACAAAGCTTATCTTCGACGCATCAAACCCAATTTCCACCACTCTCTCCAAAATTTTTCTAGACTGATCCGAACTCAACATTAAAAAGCTAGGCCGGTAAATAACCAATGTAGCTATATTGGCGTCGGACACTCCATATCCTCGCAAAATATCCAAACAAGGCAATTTCTTGTGAGCAAGGATATCAGGACATCGTTTAGCAGCTGCGATGACCTTCTTATCGGATTGTAACAAGTTCCTAAGGAAATCATATGCGGGCTTAATCTGTTTGTCTAAGCTACTTCCCAAAACATTAGGGCGTATGGATAGCATCTTGGCAATTTCAAGGCATGAAAAGCCTTTAGCTTCCAAAAATTCCAACTTGGGCAAAAGAGTTTTCTCCGTATCTGCTAAAAGTAGTTTAGGGCGTATCCTGACAAGGTGTGACATTTGGGTCTGAGTGAAACCATATTTTTTGAACAAGTTTACTACTTTGTCTGGTTTCTCACAAGTCTTTAAATTGACATGCTTGGAAACTGATAAAGCAGTTTGTGGAGACAACCCAATTGAGTTTGTAAGATACGAGACCGTAAAAGATGGTTGATTCGAACTACTAGAGACACATCTGTGGGGGGGAAAATTAGGGTTTTGCAGAAAACCCAGAATACTGGGTGGTGGTGAAGGTCTTAAACGACTACCAAATTGAACTGATTTGCAGAGAAAATAAGACATGGCTTCTGAAATTGAAGAAGTATGAAATGAACTTACAAATTGGTGAGAGCCAATTCCTTGAGTGCTTTTCGCAGAGGAAGTGAAAGCGATTCAACCAAAAGTTAGGGTTTAAGGTTATTTTCTAGAAGGGTAAGAATTTGAAGCTCAAGAAAACGACGAAGTTTTAATTGTAAAAGGAGGAAATGAATTTGAAGTTTTTATTTCTAAATCATTTTTTTTAATTTTATTAACTTTTAGATTAGAAAGAAAAAGAAATAAAATAGTTGGGTTAGGGCTTGTTTAGTTCTCTGATCGAGTGGAGATGTGATTTTATATGAAAATTTTTTACTGTAATAAAAAAGTTAGATGCGATTGTTTCTGAAAATTTTTTAATATAGCAAAACTCAAATTGGTGAAATGAACGGAATCTTAATTTTTTAATGACTTTTTAATTATTTTACTTTCATTTTAGAAACAATTTTTTTTTTATTTTTTTCTCTTTTTTTTTTTGTGAATGTTATACCAATACATGCTCACTTATATCGTTACATTTTAAATTAATTCTATTTTGTTTTGTTTAATTTATTTTTATTTAATAAGGTGTGATTTTATTTTATTTTAGCATATTTTATTCCATTTTATTTGAGCATGATTTTGATTAATTTTAGTTTTTTTAATTATTTATAGCATTTTTATCACAATAGTATTAGAAATTCAACACAAAACGGTTTTAAAACGAATAAAATCGGACCACAAATTACTCTAAATGAATAAATAAACACAATAAACAATAATAATACAAAATAAATATTTGTAATATTCCTTTGAGAAAACGAATATGTTTTAAACACTTTCAAAATATTTAACACTTAACCCTCATCTGCAATTTTGTTTCAATTTTAAACCTTTTATCAATTAGAAGTAAACAAAGTCTTATTTTTTATCAGCATCACATCCATATTTAATGTTATGTTAGCAGAGGCCAGAGTATTTTCTAACAGCATCACATGCACATTTGGTTTATCTTTTTGCATCAACTACCTAATATGGTTAAAACTTAAATAAACAAATAGAGTTTAGTTGAATTCGGGACTTTTTACTTTTTTTTTAAATAGATTTTTGTGATGAATTATATTCTCCAAATATTTTTTTTCTCTGTTTTGAACATATTATTTGACTTATATTTGTAATATTGATTTATGGATGGGAATTTAAATAATATTAGGCATGTTTGGTTATATTTTAAAAATAGTTTCGTTTTGAGTATGACGATAGAAATAAGATTTTTTTTTTTTATAATGGTAATGTAATGAGATGGATTTTAAAATTGTGTAGAGATGATCCAAGATTAAGAAAAAATTAAAACTGTATTTTGGTATGTTTATTCAAATATGTAAGTATAAAAAAACTGGAAATTTTTTAGTATTTTCCCATTTTCTTCAAATAACATATGGCCTCGTTCGTTTCGATGATTCGAGTTTAGAATTTGAGTTGAGATGTGATTGTATGTGAGAGCTTTTTACTGTAGTAAAAAAGTTAGATGTGATTGTTTGTGAGAGCTTTTTACTGTAGCAAAAAAGTTAGATGTGATTGTTTGTGAGAGCTTTTTACTGTAGCAAAACTCGAATTCTAAACTCGAATCAGCGAAACGAACGAGGCCATAGTATGAAATGATTTTCTATTTCAAATAAGTTTTTTGTGATGTCTATCCACTGTCTCCAACGGATGCTTTTTAGTAATTTACAAAACATAAGGTACTTGTTTTGGATTTCAAAAACTATTGGGGTAAACGTTGAACTAAAGCAAAAATTCGGACGTCTTAAAATAATATATTCTTCGAATATCTCCCGCCAAAACTGACACGGAGCAAAACCCCGCCCTTTCGCCTTCACTGCGAACAATTCTAGAGAGAGAGAGAGACAAAAACGACGCCGTCATGAGCACCGCCGCGGAGCCACCGTCACTAACGGACGCCGATATCGTGCGCTTGGCCCAAACCTGCGCACCCCTCCCTTCTTCTCTCCTCTCCTCCAATGCACACCCACTCCTTCTCTCTTACGTCACTTCTCTCTCCTCATCTTCATCTTCTTCTTCGGTCTCCGAATACGTACAGTCTCTTCTCTATTTCATCTCTCTCTCTCCTCAAACCCCTTCTCTCTCTACCCTCCTCAGCTCTCTCCTTTTCTCCTACATTGACCTCTTCACCTCTTGCCGTATCCCTCATGATCATAATTCTCTCAAAACCCTTCAATTCTTCACCACGCTTCTCGATTTCGTCCCCGCTGACGAAATTCCCCGAACCGTCGACTTGATCGTGGCATATCTACCGGAAATTGTGGATTCCGATGACGCTCAGGTGGTTGATCTCGTTCCCCGGTGTCTGTCTTCGGCGCGCAATTCGGAGGAGGTTGATTGCGGTAAGGGTTTCACAGGCGCAGTCTTCGACCGGATTCTGGACTGTGTTTGGTCCAAGGGGCTTTTGGTTAAGATGGTTTTGATTGTGAGGGACTTTCCGTTTCTGGACAAGGGAAGGGTTGGTGAGTTTGTAGATAAGGTGTTTGATGGAATAACTCGGGTCGACCTGCAGGACTTGCCGTCGCTGGTGTACCAGTTGTTGGTTCTGGCGTCCAAAGGGTTTAGCAAGAGGGATGTGATTGAAGGGATTGTCGTGTTTTTCGGGTCCAAAATGGAGCGGAAATCGAGCTCCATTGTTAGGCAAGTTGAAGGGACTGTTCTGCTCCATGTGAATTTCGCAGTAAAGCAGGACCCTTCTTTGGGGCAAGAGATTATGGGGCTTGTCAGATTGGATCTTAGAGCTTTCAACCATTTCACTGTCGCTATTCTCTTATCGGTTGCAAGGGTTCGGAAGTTTGGTGAGAGTTCGGTTGGGGTTTTGAAAACAGCTCTGCTCACTGCCTATCGCGATTACAAGTTTGCCAGGTATGGGTGGAAAGCTTTCACTTTACTTGATGTAACTTAGAAGCTGAGTACTATTTGAAAATTTTGTAGTAAATGCATATACGTTTTAATGAATCGGCAGTTATATCTTCTTCAATGTTTGGTTCTGATTATTTTTGCCCTTGTACATGACAATAACTTGTGAATTCCTCCTTATCTTATAGAGATTGCAAGTGGTTATCTGATGAGTTGAAGGAAGAATACCTGCAAAATGTCAAAGTAGTTGAGAAGGCTATGTTAAGAGCTGTAATTTTCTACTTTCTCAAGTATATTATACACACTTCTACCTTGAAAGTTCTTCATATAACAACATAAGACTCTTTTGGTTGTAACATGTTTACTTGTTTATGAAATTAAGGTTAATGAGAGCAACTATGGAAGAGAACACATTGTCCCTAGCATTGTGCAGTTTGCTTTTCTGCTCTTAGAGTCGGTGGAAGAGGAGAATTTTAGAGAGATTTGCCACTCTAATGGTCTGTTAGGGATGGAAGATCTTGCTTTTCAGATGCTTAAAGCTCTATTTGAGGTGTATGATATGGCAAGAAATGAGGTTGGTGCAATTATATGGCCATGTATAATACAATAGCACTTCTTGTGATTTTGGGTCACCAGGCTGGGGTGGGTGGGAAAATGATGCATGTACACTTGCAAATGCTTTACTATCCTATCATTGTTTAGAAACATATCAAGATAATGACTGATTGGGTATGGTGTTCTAGATCATTGAGCAATGCAAATTTCGGATCCTTTCTTTGAAGCCTGCCCAGAGCATGGCAATCATTAGGTAACTGCTGTAGATGTAGTTCAATGATTGGTTTTTTGTTTTATTTAATTATTATTTTTTTTAGAAGAAATGTCCTGTAATATAACTTCTATGTGCAGATTGCTTGGTGATCTGGTAGAGAACTTTCCGTATCTCATATTAGAGCACGTTTCGCATTTAAAAGAATTGTTGGATTATTTTACTTTCATGCATGGAAAGGTTGCTTCTGGTATTGTTTCTGCTCTATTGCCTCTTACCAAATTCAGCCGTGATCTTCAGGTACTTTCACCTTTTAATCTCGGAAACACTGAATCTTTGAGATGATGAAACTACTGGATGTAAATCATGCAACATTATGCAGTATGGATATCAAATTGAATTATCCGACCATTGGCAAATGGATGTTGAAGTTATATGTTAAATCCAGATGTATAAACGTAGAATATTTTCGTGACAGAGTTTAAATCCTTGTGCTCCTTAAGTAGAAATAACTTTTGATTGTGTATTCGGTTTAATGACGCAGGATTACACCATTTTGGTCATGCGCAAGGCCATGTTTAGACAGGAAGAAGCAATTCGTCTTGCAGCAACTAATGCCATTATCAATCTTATACTGACGGAGAAGCAATCAAAGAGAGATGGCCCATTTTCTTTTCAAGAGTCATCTAGCCAAGCCAGTAGCAGCCAACAAGCTCAGCTGCCCTGCTGTGTGGGAGGCCTCTTTCAAGAACTGAGTGGTTTGCTGCAAAGGTGTCTTTATCAGCAGGTTTTGTTAATTTCTTTTGTTAAGGTCATGCATATTACTTTTATTTCGAACCACTTCTCCAATGAAAGCTGGGTTGCTATTCCTAGGCAAAAATTAAAGAAGCCATGTATCACGGACTTGTAAAGCTGGTCTTGCTTGACCCGTCAACTGGCAGTGCTGTCTTTGATCTTTTGTTGCCCCACTTCCGTCGGTTTTTCAGGGAGGTAATTCGTAATTAAGTTCTTTTTATTTGTCCCTCTGAATCTCAACTCTCTTTTAAAACTAAAATTTGTACCCATTACATACAAGTTTGTATATATTAAACCAAATTTGTTACAAGGAAATTTTAAATGCTTCTCCTTATTAATAGACCATGATCAACCTTTGTGGTCCGTTAGCAGGATGTCGAGGTAGAGCTAAGAATATCCAGTTGCGTTAAATCAGAAAATGGCAAAGTTTATATTGAAGAGCCCCTAGATAGTCTACTGCACTGTGTCTCCTGGATTCTACTTCTACAGCAACATGGTAAAACTGATCGAGTCTTAGATTCCTCTTGGGCATGTTTTGGTTTCTCCCTCTCACAAGAAAATGAGGTATTCTACTTGCTCATGGAAAAAACTAAGAAGAGTTATTTTTGTTCATGAGCTCTTCTTTTTGGATTAAGAAGGAAGTATAGTTCAAATGAATGTTACAACTATATATACATTTTTCTGTAGGCAGGAAGATGTTTAACTGGTGAATCATTCTCCAATGCTTTCCTGAAGATCCGGCAGTTTCTAAGGAATCAGAAACTGGGAGGTTTGTAGGAAGGAATTTTTCTCCAATAATTATCTGCGTCCTATATCTTTTGTTTTATTCTGTGATTTCTTCTTTTTTCCCCTGAATATTTCCCAAGTACTTTTACTTGAGTCCATGAGCAAATTTTTGTAGTTTCTACATCTTGCAACGCTCATACTACCACCTTGTTTCTTTACATGTTGGATCAGACATTGTGGGTCAAAGTACGGACGGAGGCTCGGCATCCCTTGATGCGGATAAAAGCAAATGTTGTGCACTGGTTTTATCAGGAATCATTGAAGTGGTAATAAATGCTATTGCTAATGAGTTGGAGAAAGCAACAGATGTGAATAAACTGAATCTTGAAAAGGAGCTTATTGAGTTTATTGAAATTCACGAATCACTGGGAAAGGACACATGCTTGTCAAGGCAGGCTACTGGTACTAGAAGAGGAAATGTACGGACTGCTGCTCATGATCTACACGACAGCTTGGAACCAGGCCACACAAAGGTGACTCAAGGACAAAATTCTTTCTTGGCGACCTCTAGTATCTACCAGATCATGGAAATGATTCCGAAACTATATGATCCTGGGAGCTTTGATAGGATTGGAACTTCTCAAAACCATAGTCAGCAATCCCAGAGCAAGAAATCAAAAGGTTTCCCTATAATTATATCTTTCATCCTGGGTGTCTGCCTTCGTCATATAAAATCATTTCCTGTTCTTGGAAAAGATGATTCATTGAGAACTTTGTTTTATGGGGATATCAAGATTCTTGGACCCCCATTGTTGAGATTTATATTTTTCCTAAACTTAGGGGCAAAGTACGAGACAAGTCAGAAGAAAAAAGAGGCAAAGGGAAAGAAAGATGTTGAAGAACTAAGGGAGCATTTTCATCAAGCCTTAGTTTGCTTGAAGGAATTGATAATGATTAGTTTAAGAAGTCCAGACCCAACTGCTTTGCTTGAAGATTTGTTGTCAGTTTCTACTGTTGAGGATGCCAGTTTGGATGATGACTGCAAAAGGGCCTCAAGGATTGATGATCAACCCACAAGAAGAAAAGAACTCTTCATTGTGAAAACTTTGAGGCTGATGTTCTTCACGTCTCTTGAACTTTCCTTTCCCGATGAAGTTGAGGTAAACACATAATTATTCATTTTGTATGTACACGAGTTCAAAGCAGCTTTGTGCTTTTCTTTCTGATTAATATTAAGAAAATCCCATTGAAAGGTCTGTCATTTTCAGGTTATTTGTGCTATGATATTGATGATTGGAGAGAATTTGCCATGTGAATTGAGGAATTCTCATGGATCCTGGGCAATTAGTGTCTGCAAAGCCAAGAACATAACAAATTCCAAGATTGCAAAAAGTGTTGTTACACTTGCTATATCTTTAAGCTTTCCTCCAAACGATTTGATCATATGTCAGGACATGGCCACAGAGCTGTTGCAAGTTATGGGATCGAAGACATGTGAACCGGTGAGAGTGTCTGAAGCATATCCCCTCTTGAATCACTCTACAAGAAATGCAATAAGTTCTTGCATACTGCACTTGATGGAAACATTTATACTCGATATGGATTGGGCCATAAAGAAGCTGAAGACTTTCTCTTCACTAATCCTCAGAAGCATCCATGTTAATACTAATGGAGAACACGCTCCGGGGCAAGCATTTGAGGAAAATCTCTATTCTAGGGCAGAAGCGGTTACGAAAGTACTAGCATCCTTTGTTTTAATGAGCCTTAACGGTACCTAATCAGTTTCAGTTTTTACCATCATAAACTTTAGTTTATCATCTCAAACTTATTCGTTCTGTCAATTAAAATGCGTGCAGATCCTCAAGCTGAGACTTTGCTTCGATTGGCGGCAAGGTTTTACAAGCATTTAGCTCAGATGTCAAAGCTTAGAATAGCTCCAAAAGGTTGCAAGCAAGTTTTGCCTTCCCTTAAGTTCCAGAAGCTTGTGGAGATTACTTGCAGGCAGGTCACAGTTCCTCTGTACAACTTTGTGGCCGAGATGCAAAGGGTATAGATGGATTCTCATTTTTGAGATTTTCTTTAGAAATTTTTTTTTTTTTTAGAATTATACTTTAGAAAGTTAATATGAAATCATTATTGCCCTCTGTAGTATTGTCTTTTTGTTTCTAATGTATTTAAGTTGATATATTCTGATAAAAAGAACAATTATGATTAAGAAGTTAATAATAGAAAGATGACTATTATAAAATTTGAAAAATATTTAGTAGCATCATCCTTAAGTATTATTACTAATAAAATGTAAACTCTACATGCAAAATTTAAATTATCGGACTCATTTTTATTAGCGAGTCGTCCTCATTTCTTTACTTTTCATCAGCCAATATATGCAATATCAAACTAACTAATTGATGGGTTTTGATCATCTTGACTTGCAGAGTCAGCAAGAAAATTCTAGCAGCAAAGGAATCATCAACAGGATCAAAAGAGAGAACAGGTGCATTCCAGACTTGATCTTTCAGATAGAAGATTATGAAAAGTATCTCATTCAGCTAAGCAAGCTAAGTAAAATCAACTTGTTGAGACATGCAAAGCGAAGTACTGCCCGGGATTTCAAAATAATAGACACGACCACCAACCGCGAAGCTGCTGCTGCGGAGAACAATCCCGTTGCAGCAGAAAGCGAGACGTGTGAAGAAGACTCAGAAGACAGTGAAGGAAGTGGGGGGTCTGAGAAAGTTCTATCTCCTGAAACTGGCAGTGCTTTGGCTGCAGAGGATTCGGAGTCCAATGGTGAAGAAGAAGGAGAAATTGCTTTTCCAAATGCCAAGAGGATGAGGAGATACGGAGTTGTGCAGGATGATGATGCGGCTTGAGAAGCTAGAACAAGTTAAGGCGACTTTTTGTCCTTTTTTGCTTGAATGGTTGCCCCTTTTTGAGAGCCCTCTTTTCATCCTCACCGTCCACATGGAAAGTGACTGGAAAAGGCCTAATGGGCACTTTCCTTCATTTTCACAAAGGTTAGAAACCAACATTTTAGTTTGCATTAGATTGGCGGGGAAATATGAGCAAATACCAGTGTTGTTCTACTTTAATTCTGAGGGTGAATTACAAATGACCCTTTTAAGATCAAGAGCAAAAGAATATTGCCCTTGGATCAAAATTAGAATTTTGTAAAAAAAAAATACTGTAATAAAAGAGTTTGAATTATAATTGAATCTAAAAAGGAACGGGGTCTACATTCAAGTATCTAGTACAAGAAAATTGTGGGAATTTATCTCGGAAAAAAATAAAGACATAAATGAGGTGCTCTTTTTATATTGATGGCATCAATCATTTGGCATGGGGATATTTACTTGAAGCGCAGCGTTTTGTTTTGTTTTTTTTAGTGAGAAATAAATGTTTCTTGTTTATTTACATGCTAATAATTGAATTGAGTAAATTATTCTATATGAATAATTGGAAATTGAGGGAGGTCTTTTCAAGATAAGACATTCTTTCTCACCAACTTTGCCAACCAAGACATTTGCCAAGTAATCAACGTGATACTTTAGCCACCAAAAAATTAGAACAAAAAAAAAAAAAAAAAAAAGCTTCATCTTGGTTTAACAACTAATAACAAAATTTGATTCTGTTAATTTCACTTATTCGAATTTAAAATTTAAGTTGAGATATAATTTTATATGAGTACTTTTTACTGTAATAAAAAAATTAAATGTGATTATTTTTGTGAACCTTTTACTATAATAAAATTTAAATTTTAAACTCGAATCAACAAAATAAATGGCATAATTTTACTCTCACTTTCACAATAATACCACAGTAAAATTTCTAGCAAAAAAAAAAATAATAATTGAAGGATATATGTTTAGAGAGAGAATGGTGATTCTGATTCCTCTCCTCATTATTGTCGTTGTTCCACTTTTCCACAACTTTCATTGCGAAAAAAAAAAAAAACAAACAAACAAACTTTCTTACCAAATCGGAGGGAAATTAAAGCGTTTCGAGTGTTTTCTAAGCAAAAAATAGCAGAAAATCAAATTTAAAAAAGAAGAGAAAAAGAAAAGAAAAATGAGCGACGACGCCAAGAAAAGCGTCCCCGGAGCTCTGTCGGCGCAGCTCAAATCCGACGACCGGAAACCCTTGCCAGCGTCCGCCGCCGCCCCGGCCGGCAAGCGCGTTGTCATCAAGAGTGCCGATATGTTCGGCGACATGCAGAAGGAGGCCGTCGACATCGCCATCGCCGTTAGCTCTCTCTCTCTCTCTCTCTCTCTCTTTCTCTCTCTAACCTCATTTATCTCTCTCTTCTGTAATGGGTTTGTCTTGTTTCTTAATTGTTTGGTTTTGATTTTGATTTTGAAGGCGTTTGAGAAGCATAGCGTGGAGAAGGATGTTGCAGAGAGTATAAAGAAGGAGTTCGACAAGAAGCACGGCCCCACCTGGCATTGCATCGTCGGACGAAATTTCGGTAACCCTTTTTCCCTTCTCCTTTTCTTTTCACGATTTTCTGGTTTTGATATTTGATGGGTTTTGTTCAGATTTGATTTTCTCTTGATTAGTTACCATTTTGGTCTTGCTTTTCGGATGAGTGATAATAAATGAGCAGATCTACGCTTTATTAACTTATTGCTATTGGGTTTTATCCTTTTTTTTTTTGTTGCTTTCAGTAGTTCAATTTGGTTCGTAGAAACTTGTTTTATATATTATGGAGTGATGATATTCAAAGTTCAAACATGATTGTTCTCAAATCATTAGTCATTAGTTTAGTATTACTGTGGAATGGCTGAACTTGAAACCTCTTAGATATTACTGGTATGGGCTGATTTTCTTTTTATTGCTAAACTGGTCTGAAAAGTGAAAAAACATTTGAATATGCCAAGTTAGAAACTGTGAAGTTACTCTGGCTGGCACATTGTTGGTCCCGAAACTACTGGATTGAAGTGTGTTCTTGTAGACTTGTACTTCATGTTACTAAAGAGATCATTCCTTTGAACTTGGTAAAAGTGGCCCAACTTATTACCAGAATTGGAGCTCGAGCTTTCACTGGCAACTATCGAGCCTGATCTCTTTCTGTTTGCTTTAACGTTACCAAAGCATTCCTCGGTGGAGGAACTACTACTGTTGAACAGAAACTTTTGAAATGTTTTTTGTGAGGCAAGGAAGTCACTTACCCCTAGCTTTCGTAAACACAACCCAACTATGACAATTCCCCGTTGCTCCTTACGGGTTAGGTTAGTCAATCCGATATGGAGTGTGTTCGTTGACAAAACCACCATATGAATGGAGACCTTTTAAACGAGTGGAGGCAAAGTGATCAACGAGAAAGAGGTCCTAGAGACAAACTATTTACTTTACTCTTGGTCTATAGAAAAGTAATCGATACATACAAAGATAATATTCATATTAGTTTACCAGGCATGGCTTGAGTTGAAAATATTTAGGTCCTACACTTTTGGGAAGCTCATTTTGGATGTAATAAACTCTAGAATTATTTTCAGGAAGAAGTCACTCATCGATTTTAGTATCATGTATAATTAAGATTTTTCCATGTGTTTGTTTTGATGTTTGGTGTGTTTGTTTTGATGTTTGGTGTGTTTGTTTTGATGTTTGGTGTGTATATTTATGCATGGTAATGTGTTGTTTTCTGGTGGCAACTAGCTCCCTGTGAACTTGTAATTTGACCTGTTCAATGTCGGCCAATATTCTAATTGACAAAAGCAGTGTTTTGAGATTGGAGTAAGAATCAATCTGAACCCTTTTTCTTTTGTCGGAGGTACAGACTTTCAGTGTTTCTGTTTTCTACTATTTCCACTTGGGTTAAGTATAGAAAGAAGCTAGTTGATGGGATATCCTATTAAGACAATGGATATAAGGCCATCAAGGCAACTTTTTATAACTCATGTTTTAATTGGTTTTGCTTAAGATTTAGCTTGTTCACATTGCTGCCTTTCTTTTTTAGATATGATATCATATACTTAACTTGGGACTCAGTTTGCAAGTCCAAACTCTTTCTTTTTGGCGAAGCGATAATGAGTTCATATTATTCCTTTTTTGGTCCTTCCAAGAGAGAAAAAATGGGGAACGGGAGCATTGTCAATGATATTTATTATATTTTAGACTAGTGCTCTCTTTTAGAGCTTGACAAATGTGTCAAAATTCTATGAGTTTGATACAAGTAGAATGACTGTTTTATCTCATATTAATTACCCCGAGTTTTGTATTAATTTCGCAATGAGTCATGGTGAGTATCATGTTTCAATAATATCACTTACGATATTCTTTTTCTGGTATTTCGTTGTCAGGTTCGTATGTGACTCACGAGACAAACCACTTTGTTTATTTCTACTTGGATCAGAAAGCAGTTTTGCTGTTCAAATCTGGATGATGATGATGACGACGGCGACGACAATGATGTTGTGTTGTGCTGTGCTGTTGACAAGAGATGATAATGAGTGGTGATGAGGCTGTGATTATGATTATGATGATAATGATAATGATTAGCATTTGTATGTATTAATTGAAATTCACTTGGTGGCCAGACCTGTTTCTGGATGTTCTTATTCTCAACTTGTATATCTAATATCACTTACTTTGGATTTAAACTTTTGAATGAGCTTTTCCATCTTTTTTACTTCAATCGTTCCACTTAACTATTTCCTGCCAATCACAATACACTTTCTCGGATTAAAAAGTGCACGTCAGGGGTTTTTGAAAGCATATTATTAATTTGTTTTCAAGATTATCTTCACTTGGGACCTCTAGATATTAGATGAATACCTTGTTTCCATCTATTTTTGGTGATCAAGGAGGATATCATTCTTGCCTATGAAACAAAGATTGAGAGCCCGTTGGTTGGATGATTCGTTCTCTTATTCGAATGATTCGAATCATGGTTCATGGTTCGCTACAGTATTTTCTCTCATAAAAAACACACGTAAATAAAAAATGGTTTTAATTTCATAGTTTTAATCTATAAACTAAATGGACTCTGAATCATAATTACCGCCAAGGCAGTAGCATAGTAGCATCGGGCTTACTCCCAAGTAGTTTGGCAGGAGAGACGTCTTGTGTTTGAGTCGCGTAGGAAGTCTTTTTGAGATTGGATTTTTTACAGGCTAATTAGTTCAATGCTCATCAGTCTTCAATGGGTTGAGGTAACACACTTTGTCTCTTGAAGCAAGTGGGTGCAAGTTTACTTACACTTACCGATAACTACCACCGGTCGTTTCTCTCCACACTTTAAGATTGGATCATTATTTATCCTAACCCCAAATCTCAAGGATGAGGAACCGAAGGAAATTCAGATGATCACTTTATGCAATCTTGTAAACCATCTTTCGAAGCCAACTGCCTCAGCTTGAAATTTGGTTCGCCAAACAAAAGAGTAAGTGAGACGAGAGGGATAAGAGCAAATTTTGATTAATGCCTTTTGATTAGTATAGTTCTTTGACTACGTTAATCAAAACGGAAGGGGTAAAATTCCAATATCCATTCACTCTTAAGGGGCATTTCTCTCTTTTTCCCAAGTGAATTCTCATAGCAAGGAATAGAAAATGCCATGTATATCAACAGAATATCTGATTGTGTGGTAATGACATGTCTTTCTTATTAAAGCAGATAAGATTCCTCCGGCCATGGAAAATACTTCACTATCCCCTTCAGTTGAACATCTTTTTCTCAATTCTAGTAAAAGAAGTATAGTTCTTCCACGCCTAACAATCTGGCAAGATTAAATAAATAAATAAACCTTTTTTATCCAAATATCCTTTTTTTTTTTTCCTTTCTTCTCACAACTTCATCACATTAATAGCTTGGAGAAAAAAGAAAATGCACTTCTTAAGCTATGTGAAGTTATTTTATCCATTTCATCACATCTATATCTACAATTGGAAAAATCAAGTCTTTTTTAGTAGGCTTAAAATCAAGTGTTTACTCTTTAGCCTGACTTGTTTGAACTTAAAGGAGCAAGAGTAGTCGTGCACGTTGCTATTAATATTGTTTTTTTGTTTCATTTGACATTTTACATGACCTTTTAAGGAAGGAGTATTGTTCAAAATATTATTTTAATGGGAAGATTGCTCGAGTTTGGTTGATCATTAATCTCAAGGACAATTTTCATCAAGGTCTCTAAGTAGTAATCTTAGGTTAGGCTTAAAATCCCCATTCTAGTATACGCATGCTCTCTCCAAGGATATATAGCAGGATTGGTAAGAAGTATTTATATACAAAATGATCACTTCATACTCTATGTTTTTTAATTTAGCAACAGTGTTAATCTGTCTATTTTATGGTTATCGAGATAACATTATCTCAAATATACCTTTTTTATGTGTGGGTGGTTAACAGAAGATAGAATGTCATTAGGGGCTATTTTATTGACTTCGTTTTTTATTATATTTTACACAATGGACATATATGTACTTAACTTGGTAAGATAAAAAAGAACTGACAGTCCCTTATTAAGGAACACTTAAAATGAACTCTTTACGGTTCGGTATATTCAAATAGTACATATTTTTATACGTTACTCTGATTAAAATCATGTTAAATCAAAAAGTATGACATAATAATATAATCTAATACAAATTTAACGTTGAAACCAAGATCCTACTTGTATAGTATTTTTTTTTTTTTTACCCTACTACTGAATTCTCAATATATTTATTCTCATGGACTTTTTTTATGGCTCTTAACTTTTGCCTTTTACACTGCATTGACAAGTTTAAATAATAAAAATAAACAAGTTGAGATTCTTGCATGGTCTTGAATCCCATTCCTCATGATATGATGCTTTGAAAACAATATTTAAAAAAAAAAAAAAGATAAAAGTCTATTCATCCCTTGTGGTCTCATTCTTGTTAGGTGATTTTTAGCTTTTCAACGATTTCCCATTTTAAACACCTGACATTCATAGAACCACTATCAAAACTTTTTTCATTTTTGGTTTTCCTTTATTGAAATATACTGAGACATTTTTGTACCAGCCTTCTTCAATATGGGAAGGGATATACATCGTCTTATCATGACTTTTTCTTTCATATATATTGAGCCCGTTCGGTTCGCTAATTCAAATTTTTAATTTGAATTGAGATGTAATGTTATGTGAGAATTTTTTATTGTAACAAAAAAATTAAATGTAATTATTTTTGAGAATTTTTTACTATAACAAAACTTAAATTCTAACATCGAATCAGTGAAAAGAACGAGGCCATTGTAAACAAATTTTGGCTGTACTTTTTGCAGCAATGTAGAAATGTAGTTCTTTATGCCTTGTCGTTTTGCATTTCAAATGGATGAACACTTTGTTCTCTAAAAAAAAACCTCTTTGTCAGAGTTGGGACTTGACATTAAGCTTCTAAATGGTGCAAAAAAGTGATGCTAGGGATTAGGGGAAGAGGAAATGTAGACAATATCTTTTTTTTTTAAAGAATAATGTGTTAGTTTATCAATTCATCCTAAAAACTTAAGCTAAATTTAAGCTGTTAAGAAGTATACCAATAATAGTTTTATACTTTAACATTGTCCCTCACGTATAGGCTGGACAATAAGCAATCATGTGAATAAATTAATTAAAAAGCCCAACACGTGAATATTTAAGCCCGAAATATATTAAAGACCCAACACATAATGACAATTTAAATGGAGATAAATAGTGCAATTATAGAAAGTTAAACTCAATACTTCCCGCTTTGATACCATGTTAGTTTACCAATCCATTTTAAAAACTTAAACTGTTAGGAAGGATGAGGAACCGAAGGAAATTCAGATGATCACTTTATGCAATCTTGTAAACCATCTTTCGAAGCCAACTGCCTCAGCTTGAAATTTGGTTCGCCAAACAAAAGAGTAAGTGAGACGAGAGGGATAAGAGCAAATTTTGATTAATGCCTTTTGATTAGTATAGTTCTTTGACTACGTTAATCAAAACGGAAGGGGTAAAATTCCAATATCCATTCACTCTTAAGGGGCATTTCTCTCTTTTTCCCAAGTGAATTCTCATAGCAAGGAATAGAAAATGCCATGTATATCAACAGAATATCTGATTGTGTGGTAATGACATGTCTTTCTTATTAAAGCAGATAAGATTCCTCCGGCCATGGAAAATACTTCACTATCCCCTTCAGTTGAACATCTTTTTCTCAATTCTAGTAAAAGAAGTATAGTTCTTCCACGCCTAACAATCTGGCAAGATTAAATAAATAAATAAACCTTTTTTATCCAAATATCCTTTTTTTTTTTTTCCTTTCTTCTCACAACTTCATCACATTAATAGCTTGGAGAAAAAAGAAAATGCACTTCTTAAGCTATGTGAAGTTATTTTATCCATTTCATCACATCTATATCTACAATTGGAAAAATCAAGTCTTTTTTAGTAGGCTTAAAATCAAGTGTTTACTCTTTAGCCTGACTTGTTTGAACTTAAAGGAGCAAGAGTAGTCGTGCACGTTGCTATTAATATTGTTTTTTTGTTTCATTTGACATTTTACATGACCTTTTAAGGAAGGAGTATTGTTCAAAATATTATTTTAATGGGAAGATTGCTCGAGTTTGGTTGATCATTAATCTCAAGGACAATTTTCATCAAGGTCTCTAAGTAGTAATCTTAGGTTAGGCTTAAAATCCCCATTCTAGTATACGCATGCTCTCTCCAAGGATATATAGCAGGATTGGTAAGAAGTATTTATATACAAAATGATCACTTCATACTCTATGTTTTTTAATTTAGCAACAGTGTTAATCTGTCTATTTTATGGTTATCGAGATAACATTATCTCAAATATACCTTTTTTATGTGTGGGTGGTTAACAGAAGATAGAATGTCATTAGGGGCTATTTTATTGACTTCGTTTTTTATTATATTTTACACAATGGACATATATGTACTTAACTTGGTAAGATAAAAAAGAACTGACAGTCCCTTATTAAGGAACACTTAAAATGAACTCTTTACGGTTCGGTATATTCAAATAGTACATATTTTTATACGTTACTCTGATTAAAATCATGTTAAATCAAAAAGTATGACATAATAATATAATCTAATACAAATTTAACGTTGAAACCAAGATCCTACTTGTATAGTATTTTTTTTTTTTTTACCCTACTACTGAATTCTCAATATATTTATTCTCATGGACTTTTTTTATGGCTCTTAACTTTTGCCTTTTACACTGCATTGACAAGTTTAAATAATAAAAATAAACAAGTTGAGATTCTTGCATGGTCTTGAATCCCATTCCTCATGATATGATGCTTTGAAAACAATATTTAAAAAAAAAAAAAAGATAAAAGTCTATTCATCCCTTGTGGTCTCATTCTTGTTAGGTGATTTTTAGCTTTTCAACGATTTCCCATTTTAAACACCTGACATTCATAGAACCACTATCAAAACTTTTTTCATTTTTGGTTTTCCTTTATTGAAATATACTGAGACATTTTTGTACCAGCCTTCTTCAATATGGGAAGGGATATACATCGTCTTATCATGACTTTTTCTTTCATATATATTGAGCCCGTTCGGTTCGCTAATTCAAATTTTTAATTTGAATTGAGATGTAATGTTATGTGAGAATTTTTTATTGTAACAAAAAAATTAAATGTAATTATTTTTGAGAATTTTTTACTATAACAAAACTTAAATTCTAACATCGAATCAGTGAAAAGAATGAGGCCATTGTAAACAAATTTTGGCTGTACTTTTTGCAGCAATGTAGAAATGTAGTTCTTTATGCCTTGTCGTTTTGCATTTCAAATGGATGAACACTTTGTTCTCTAAAAAAAAACCTCTTTGTCAGAGTTGGGACTTGACATTAAGCTTCTAAATGGTGCAAAAAAGTGATGCTAGGGATTAGGGGAAGAGGAAATGTAGACAATATCTTTTTTTTTTAAAGAATAATGTGTTAGTTTATCAATTCATCCTAAAAATTTAAGCTAAATTTAAGCTGTTAAGAAGTATACCAATAATAGTTTTATACTTTAACATTGTCCCTCACGTATAGGCTGGACAATAAGCAATCATGTGAATAAATTAATTAAAAAGCCCAACACGTGAATATTTAAGCCCGAAATATATTAAAGACCCAACACATAATGACAATTTAAATGGAGATAAATAGTGCAATTATAGAAAGTTAAACTCAATACTTCCCGCTTTGATACCATGTTAGTTTACCAATCCATTTTAAAAACTTAAACTGTTAGGAAATGAGTTAATAATAATTTTATACTTTAATAATATGGTCATATATTTGCAGACATTTAGTTCATAAATTTATTATTATGATTCAAAATTATTTTTATTTTACGTGTATATTTTATTAAAAAAAAATATTATAATAAATAATAAATTATGATTCAAATCCTAATACGATAATTTAAACCATAATACATAATACGATTGATAATAATACGAATCTCCCCCGCACACTAATTAGTATGGCCAACAAATAGACATATATATATATATATCGCAAAATGTCGCATCGAATGGCATCCTAAACTCAAGGCTCATTCGATACTACTTCATAAACTGAAGCTGCACTCCATATTAATTCGTCTTGTTTGACTTAATGGTCATTAATAATACGGTGAATATATTACAGCTAGTGAAATAAATTTACCCTTCCCCGTACTATTAGATAAGTATAAGTCTCATCATGAATGAATGGACATATTTTTTTGTCTAAAAAACTCAAAAAAAAATAATTTAAACTCTAATTTTATTTAAATTTACGTTTTTTTAAATTTTAATTTTATTCAATTTTATTCTTCAATATGGGAAGGGATATACATCGTCTTATCATGACTTTTTCTTTCATATATATTGAGCCCGTTCGGTTCGCTAATTCAAATTTTTAATTTGAATTGAGATGTAATGTTATGTGAGAATTTTTTATTGTAACAAAAAAATTAAATGTGATTATTTTTGAGAATTTTTTACTATAACAAAACTTAAATTCTAACATCGAATCAGTGAAAAGAACGAGGCCATTGTAAACAAATTTTGGCTGTACTTTTTGCAGCAATGTAGAAATGTAGTTCTTTATGCCTTGTCGTTTTGCATTTCAAATGGATGAACACTTTGTTCTCTAAAAAAAAACCTCTTTGTCAGAGTTGGGACTTGACATTAAGCTTCTAAATGGTGCAAAAAAGTGATGCTAGGGATTAGGGGAAGAGGAAATGTAGACAATATCTTTTTTTTTTAAAGAATAATGTGTTAGTTTATCAATTCATCCTAAAAACTTAAGCTAAATTTAAGCTGTTAAGAAGTATACCAATAATAGTTTTATACTTTAACATTGTCCCTCACGTGTAGGCTGGACAATAAGCAATCATGTGAATAAATTAATTAAAAAGCCCAACACGCGAATATTTAAGCCCGAAATATATTAAAGACCCAACACATAATGACAATTTAAATGGAGATAAATAGTGCAATTATAGAAAGTTAAACTCAATACTTCCCGCTTTGATACCATGTTAGTTTACCAATCCATTTTAAAAACTTAAACTGTTAGGAAATGAGTTAATAATAATTTTATACTTTAATAATATGGTCATATATTTGCAGACATTTAGTTCATAAATTTATTATTATGATTCAAAATTATTTTTATTTTACGTGTATATTTTATTAAAAAAAAAATTATAATAAATAATAAATTATGATTCAAATCCTAATACGATAATTTAAACCATAATACATAATACGATTGATAATAATACGAATCTCCCCCGCACACTAATTAGTATGGCCAACAAATAGACATATATATATATATATCGCAAAATGTCGCATCGAATGGCATCCTAAACTCAAGGCTCATTCGATACTACTTCATAAACTGAAGCTGCACTCCATATTAATTCGTCTTGTTTGACTTAATGGTCATTAATAATACGGTGAATATATTACAGCTAGTGAAATAAATTTACCCTTCCCCGTACTATTAGATAAGTATAAGTCTCATCATGAATGAATGGACATATTTTTTTATCTAAAAAACTCAAAAAAAAATAATTTAAACTCTAATTTTATTTAAATTTACGTTTTTTTAAATTTTAATTTTATTTAATTTTATTTAACTTTATTCAAATTATAATTTTAATTCAAATTTAATTTAAAAATTATATTTAAATTACACTCTAAAAAAATAACCCTTTTAATTTATTTTATTTACCTTTTGGTAATTCCCAACTTTTCCATGATGTAGAGGCAATTGTTTATTCGCCTCCTTTTCTCTTTGCTTTTGTCTCTTTTGGTAAATAGTAAAAGCTTTAATGGTCGAAACGACCAAAATCACCATGAGTGTTAATGAGGTATACCCACTTAAGGACAAAGTATTTTAACCCCCAACACAGTTCAAGAACAGAATTGGGGCTGAACTAAATATTTGCTTTATTGGACCTACTCTCTGTCCTATAAGTTGTGTAAATTCATGAAAAAAATAAAACAACAGTAAATAAAAAGAGTAGAGACAAAATTAAAACGGTGGTTAAGGATAAAAAACCATTCATTACCCATCAGTAATATAACGCAATAGTGCCACACTGTAAATATTTGCATTTGCAAAAGGTAAAAGTACAACAAGGAATTAAAGTAGAATGGCCAAAAATAAAAGGGTAAAAAAAAAAAAAATCAGGAAAGTGACAAATCAAATGAGGACTTTGTAAAAATAACTCAATAAAAAAATTTTATTAGTAAAATAATTTTTTTAAAATTTTTATTTATAAAATAACTACTTTTTACAAAGTGGTCCTTCTTCATAAAAAATAAAAAATGTCATTTTATTAGAGAATATTTGATAGAGAAATTCGTTCGCTGATTCAAATAATGATTCATGATTCGCTACAGTATTTTCTCTCATAAAAAATTCACGTAAATAAAAAATAATTCGAATCGCATAGTTTAAATTCTCCAACCAATCGAATTTCACTTTATTGGATAGTCATTCTAACATATTGTCCTAAATTTCAAGAGCCCCTCTAAAAAAATAAAAAAGTATCAAATCAAAGGGTCTCTAGAGAAATATTAAAATCCTTAGTTCCTTTGTGGCAACCATATCTTTTTTTGCCCATTGGGAGTCTGGGACCATGACATTGTTCCCAAGTACTAATTCTTCATTATGTTCTCCACTATAGGACACACTGTTCCCCTCAGTGCGCAATCTAGACATTCCCTCCATAGCACCTCTAAAATACGCATCACCTTAAAACACTGATTATTTTTTTTTTTAAGTAACTCAAATCTATTTTTGTTATAATAAAAAATTTTAAAAAACAAATCACATCAAAACTCTCTCCCATCTTAACTTAAATTAAAAACTACCTAAATTACCGATCAACACTATATTACCACACGACTGATTTTTCAAAATTTGAAAAGAAGAAACAATAAAGGCCAATCAATGAACTAACAAAAAGTTAATCAAAGATTAATCACGCCAGGAAATAACATAAATGCCCTTTAACTGTCACAAATTCCCCCGCTAATCCTTTCCTCCATCAAGAGCCCACAGATTATAGATGTGTAGTACGCAGGGGGTGGCAAAAGAAGTTAAAGGACTCTTTTGTCTTCATACCAGGAGGCAAAAGCCGCAAAACAACATAGGGACATCAACGTCATTACAAATTCAACCAAGGGTAAAACCGGTAAAAAAAACTTCCCAAAAAAAAACCAATTTTAATTTCCATACTTGTAACTTCTCTCTTTAGCAGGCAAACCCACCCGCTTTGTTCCTTGCTCCTTTGCGGTGACGAGAAGATGAAGATGATGAAGAAGAGCACGATGATGATGATGATGAAGAAGAAGAAGAACTGGGTTTTATGGCAGCCAATGAACAGTTATCTTTGAGAATACTTTCTTCATCGTCCATGAAAATCTGCCTGCATCTACACTCCACGCTGCAAAAAGCCCTATCTCCCCTAAAAAAAAACCAGAGAAAGAAATAAGCTTTTGACATGGAAAAACGACAAACAAACCAAAAACACTATCTGGGTTTTGCTCTAAAAAGTAAAAAAAGAAAAGAAAGAGAGAGAGAGAGGAGAGAGAGAGAGAGAGGAGAGAGAAACCTGTACATGTAGATGTCTTTTCCGGGCAAGAGCTTCTGGTGGCAAAGAAAGCATTGTTCCAGAAAAGTTGGAGCGAGAAAAGGCCTGTTGTTGACGTTGTAGAGAGAGAAAGCTGACTTGTTGTTCTTGTTGTTGTTGTTGTTGATGATCATGGTGGTTTTGTTGATAACTTGATGATTGATGATTTTCTTGTTATTAATACTACTACTACTACTCTTTTGGCCTTCCAATACTATGCTTAGTCCCACCATATTATCTCATTCTCTGTTTTACTATTCTTTTTGTTTTCTGTTTTGGTCGTGGAGAAGAAGGAGGAGGATGAGGAGGAGGAAAGAAGAGAGAATTATATGTTAATGCAATGTGTATTTTTGTGTGTTTCTTTTGGGTGTGTTTTTGCTGTAAATTTGAGGAAAATAAATAGATGAGAGAGAGAGAGGGGGGAGAGAGAGAGAGAGAGAGAGAGAGGAAATGCTACGGGAAGGGTGGGACCCTACAGCTATGGGGGAAGCAGTAATAAGGACGATTAGCGTAGCGAACGATTTGACTCCTATCGCTGCTTAACTGCCACGTACCATCTGTGAGTTTCCATTTCATTTTCCTCCTTTTCTTCAACTTTTTTTTTTTTTTTCTTTTTTACCTTATATTTTCTACTGCTTTTTGTCTTTTTGTGATTAAGCTTCAATTGTTTTTTTTATTTTTTATTTATTTTTGTTATTGCTCAGTGCATTTTTTTTTGGTAGTTATAGCTTAGTGGATTAATCCTTTGTGATTAGTAGCGCCAATGGCCCTTTGGTTTGGAGTGTTGTGTGTTGCATCATGCATGGGTTCTGTGAACTCAATTTCCAAATGCATTTGGACACAATTTCTAAATGCATTTGGACACGACATGAATGCACAAGTATTGCATTGTTTTGCCCCTTATAAAACTAACACTTTTTATGTAAATAAATTTTGGATGAGTAAGAATTGTGTTACTAAATTAATAGAGTTTCTTTGTTAGTTTACTCTATCGATAGTCCTAATTTGTTATCGTTAGATTTGATTAAAATCATATTAAATTAAAAAAATATACAAAATAGACAGATTTAAATACATATCTAACGATTAAAAAGTAAAAAACTACTAATAATTCATTTTTACAGTGACTATTAAATAAAGTCTCTTTTTTAATATGATTCTTTATAATGTTTTCTTTTCGGTACAAAATAGACAGATTTAAATACATATCTAACGATTAAAAAGTAAAAAAACTACTAATAATTCATTTTTACAGTGACTATTAAATAAAGTCTCTTTTTTAATATGATTCTTTATAATGTTTTCTTTTCGATGATTTTGGTTTCTAACCTTTTTTTTCCTGTTGACTATGAGCCTTGTCTCAAATAACTCACCTTAAAAACAGCAGGGATATACGTAGAATATTTAAGCCCCGTTTGATTCGCTTGTTTAAATTTTATTAGTTTAAACTTTTTGATTTGAACAGAAACATTCAAACTGTATGGTTTAATTAATTGTAGTTTGATCATTGACATTTGAATATGTAGTTAAAGTTTTAATTTAAACAAGAAATAAAATTTAAATTTGTATTTGATAGGTGTAAAAAGTAAAGAGAGTGTGCACTTTTTATTGTTCAAAAATAATTTAAACGGTTGAACTTGAGGAGAGAATTAAACTCTAAATTAGGTCATTTAACTCAGTTCAAATGAGAAATATAATTTTAACTGCATGCTTACTAAACGTCAATTTAAACTGTGTCCACTCTTCAAATTGAGTTAAACTAACTAAACTAATAAAACAAACAGACGTAAGACATTTCTAGAGAATGGATTTTCGCTGTGATGTAAATCGAGGTATTTGGAAAGGCAGCCCGTGGTAATAAAAGCCTCTTCATGATCATTCAGAATTATGCTATACTTAACTACAAGTTATAAATTATTGTGGTTTGATTAGTCCTCTTAACCCCGAGAAAATATGGGATGTGATGTTGAACGAGAAAATAAGGTTTGTTGGGATTATATTGTGGTTGGTATATTATATTATAAAGTCATATTGTTTATTTTGATAAAATTACATATGGAACTATCATTTGGAAATTCATTGCTCCTTATTTTCTTGGTTAGGAAGTAATATTCTTAATAAGCCATCTATCCTCCATTTCTTGAGAGGGCATTGTCATGCATGATAAAGTCAAAGAAATATATAAATGTATGGTGATATGTATTACTCTTTTTGGTTTTGCATCAAAACATGTACTGGTGGTGGTTTTACTAGCTAGACGATAAAATTAGCATAAAGTTTTGGAAAATAACACGACAAATTAGGAATTGAGTATAACTTTCAAAAAACCATAAACTTTTGAACCACCAAAATGATGTGCATTAATTATTAATCGCAAAGAAGCTTAGCCCATATTCTTTCCCCCACCACCAGTACCATGATAAAAAGTTTGAAGTATTTATACAAAACAATCGCTTTTAAACTCTTTAAAATTTGTCTTTAATTTAATAATATTATCAATGTATTTATTTTATGGTTGTTGAAATAATATTGTTTAAAATACATCCTTTTTGTGTGGATGGTTTATGAATGGTTAACAAGAGATAAAAATGTTATTACTACGAGTTATTTTACAGACTTATTTGCAAATTATATTACAATTTATCGAAAACTATTTTTTCAACTCTTGCATAATGGGCATACACATAATTAACTAACAGTTTTGTTGTCGATAAATGAATATTTGCATGGCAATATTCCAATTAAAGGGTGCCTTAAAAAACAAATTAACTACAAAGGTCCCATATGAAAAGAACCTTTTGCACATTTGTTTTGGACATACACACAATCCTTATTAGCCTATACCTATTGCCTTTTATTCTCAAATATATCATTTTTTTTTCCTTTTTATAGTACTATTCTATTCCTAAGTTTTCATGATAATTTCCAAAGACAAGCCGACGCATGCATGATTTGCTTATTGGAGGAGCATAAGCTTAGGAAGCTCTATCTAACCTATAATAAAGCAAGATAATTGTTTAAAGAATTTGACCTTGAGAAAAGAAGAAGGTACAAGGAAAAGAAAGATTAAACCCTCATTTTTTTGCCACACTAACCCTTGCTTTCCTTTTCATGCTTCTCAATAATTCATGCATTTACATATATTATTATCCTATCAATCTTTTCCACTACGCGGCACGCTAACTAGAGGTGAAAATGAATGACATATATATATATATATATATATATATAGCGGCAGATTTAATAATATATAATTATTTATTTTTCATGCCTTTAATGGTAATTTGCTTAATTAGGGGACGTTTAGTAAGGGAATTCGTACCATGATTCGAATAATAATTTATAGTTCGATACAGTATTTTTTCTTAAAAAAATACACGTAAATTAAAAATAATTTTAATTTCATGATTTTAATTTATGAACTAAACGTATCATTAGTTTTAATTTAACATACGCTTCATTGCTTTTACTTTTGTGCCTTATCCGTTAAATTTTATATGTTTATCGTGAGTTACAAAGAGTACATTTATATCAAAAAATATTATATGTAAATATCGTAGGAGTACCAAAAATAAGATATTAAACTAGTATCTTGTGCATATAAATAATAATATTAAACGAACAAAATAAGAAAAATTATCCCAATCTCCAAAATTAAAGAGGCAGAAAGACCCATCAAGTGAAGAGGAACAGGTGTTTGATATTTGATAAAGATGGCGAGTTTTGTCAACAATAGGCAACGCAAACCAAGTAAAAATAGCTTGGTGAAGCTGATAATCACAGCCAAATGACTAGGAAATAAATTAATAAAGAAAAATAATATTTGTTTTAGATAAAAGGAAAAAAAAAAAGAGAGATAAGAATGGATTGGAGAGAGAGAATGGGGAGTAATGCGGTGTTGCGAATGAGGAACACTGGCATTGAACACGTGTCACGTCTTTTGGAGCTTGCGTGGACGTAGCGATCCTACTAGAGTGGCCAGGTGTTTTTTTTTTTTTTTTTTTTTTTTGGGCTACCCTATTAGAATGACCAGTTTACAAAGTGATTATCTAGCTCTAGAGTGTTCATTAAATCTGTTAATCCGTCTAATACGTATAATTTAATTTCATCTGACAGATTGAATTGAAAAAATTTTAGATTAATTATGAATTGAGATTTTTTGAATTTGAAATTAAGAATTGAATAACAGATTAAGCATTTCTCAATTCACATAGTATATTACATATGTTTTTTAAATATTATTAAATATAAGTAACATATACAAAAAAACTTTTTATCCATTTTTGACAACCAATTGATGCTACTTCTATAAATTTAGGAACCGAATGGAGCGCTTAGAACCTAGAAGAGATTTGTTTTAAGTGGGAGTTTCTCTAGTGTTTTTTTTTTGGTTGAAAATATTGATATTTTCTATTTTTTTAGTAGTTAGATTTAATCAAAATTAAATTTTATTAAAAAAATATGTAAAATAAACAAATTTTAATATAAATTTAATAGTTAAAAAATAAAAAATACCGATATTTTTATAAAAAAGAAAATATCAAAAAAAGTCTCTAAATTTGAGGATGAAAATGGAATAAAAGGATAAACAAGTATTAGTTGTTGTACAGAGATTCTTATTGTACAATAACGCCAGGTGGCACGGAGCTACCAATCTATCACCGCCGGATTTACTATCACCCCTTTTTTATGAGTACTTTCGCTGTTAAAATCTTCATTAATGGTTGTGTTAATTCACTCTTTTATTAATGCTGTTCATTTATTTGAAGGAAGCGATCGATGGAGAGCACTATTATTTGTGGTGTACGTACGTTTTTGGTAAGATACGTATCAGAATTGAAGCAACACAAACATTTATTTAAGTTGATTGGTGAAAGAAGTAAGTTTCTCGGGTAGAATTTTCTTATTGAAGGTCGGTTTTTTATCGTTAAATTTTATTAAAATCACATCAGTTTAAAAAAATATATAAATATAAATTTAACGATTGAAAATAGAAATTTTCAAGTAGTTAATTTTTCATAACCTAAAAGAAAAGAAAAAAAGATTTAAGAGCCTTTGTATGGTATATATGTGTGCATTTTTAGTCAAAATACATTAAAAAGGACTCAAATATGTTATTCAATTTTAACGTTTTAATTGATGTCTAATTAATTAAATCATGTCACATTATGTAAAAAATTTAAATTACTTTTTAACTAATTTTTTTTATGCTTATCATAAGATGATATGATTTAATTAGTTAAACACTAATTAGGATAAAAAAATTGAACAACAGATTTGGATTCCATTAGAAATACACTTACAGAATTTGATACAATGC